ACGGCCGCACAATTTAACCACTGCGTCACGGCCGCGCAATCTAACCATCATGCATCACGGCCGCACAATCTGCATAAAACTCTCGGAAGTGAAAATTGCTGAAAACGTCTCCTTGAATAATTTTTACGTCAGTCAAGAATTTTTAAATCTTTTTGAATCAAAAAAAGGAAAACATACACCGAAGGCCAAATCGCGAAAAAGTATATAAAAATAAAAAGTGGCATTACAAAGCTGTTCAATCATTCAGCAAACCAGTAGCAACTCTTTATAGGCGTGTCAACGGCATGGGTAAAACGATTGGCAGTAGTTCAAACACAAGCTATACAAGGTTTTCATTAACAGGTGGATTCATAAGTTAAACATCAAAACCATGGACAATATTTTATCACTCAAAGCCGCTTCTTGCACGCAAGAAATAGTAGCAAAGTACTTCAACACTGCAAATTGAATTCAACGAAGCAGGTATTAACAAATGCACTTCATGTCGTTTGTAGAATTTTAATGAAATTGGCTTCTCTAGTGATCAAGAAAAGCAACACATAGTTTGCAGATGTGGCGACCATTGAAACGACCATTGAAATTGGTTAGCAACAATAAAAAAAATCAATTATACAGTTAAAAATTGCATCAATGCTGCTGGTTATCGTCTCACGTCATACATTTTTTAAAAATCTCTAGAAACGTCTCTATAAAAATTAGTGCTTAAGTGGTTCAGACAATGTCATATACGTTACATCTCCCTTCAGATGGATGAAAGATAAGCAGTTTATCTAATGGCTCACTGGCATGTATGTTTCTGCCATTAAAAAAAGTCCAGGTAAATAGTTTCGTCGATTTAATAAAAATTAGTATAATCAAATAGTTATTTAATTAAATAAATTGAACTTTTATTATCCAATTATAGGTACTTATATTTTAATTGTAGATGAACATTTGACATATGTTACCTATCGGGTTGTACTTATTTGTATCAAAAACAGTTCCTTGTTAACTTGCTTACCAGCTTATTTGTCACATATTCTACAGCCACTTGATGTCGTTATTTATTGCCAGTGGCGGATTAAGACTTCTTGGGGCCCGTGGCTATTTTTGTTTTGTAAGGCCTTTTTATGGGCCAGAGCCTAAAAATTACTTAAAAAAAAAAAAAAAGTCCTCTAAAACATTTGAGTTTTATGCAGAGACAAAGTTCAGCAATTTGTCAAAAGAATGTTTTAGTAAACTGCAAACAAAACTTTTTAGCTCTGGTAAAGTTTTCACACGCACGTAAATAGTCACTGGATTTCAAAATGCTGGTTCGCTTCCGCTCAACATTAAGAAAATCAGTCTAAATTACAAATTCCTAATACGTTAGAAAAACTTTAATGTAAATCTGAGCATTTTTTATGAACAAATTACGTCAAGAATTTGTCCTGCTAATAATCAAATTATGATGATACCTCAAGTAATGCGTACTTATACTCTAAAATTACCATTGAAACTATGTTATGGCATTAATTAACAAGAATCACAGAAGATCCTGGTCAGTTAGTTCAGATACAATAAAGTGCTGGATTTCTTAGCTTGTTAAACTAGACAAATCCAGACTATATTGTAAAAGCTCGTTTAACTACCGCAATACTGATAAAGAAAAAATAAACCAGGCAGTTAAGTCTCTGAAGCTAAAATTAGTGTGGATGTAGTTTGTAGCGATTACAGCTGACTTGTGGACTATTAATCAAAACATTCTGTATATGTATGTATCTGCGCTTTGGGTAAATATGGAATGGGTACTGGATTCCATAATTTTCATACATATGAATGTTTCGAGCGGCACACGGTATAAAATATAAATTGTCATTTGCAGGATTCTGCTGACGACTAGGGAAAATTGCTGCTACAATCCACGATAACGGATTAAATATAAATCTAGCAATGCACTTTTTGGATAAATAGCCGGATAGAAACTGAAGTTGGTCTGAAAATTCCAGAAAATGTAAATACGCTTCGGGCTGCAAGGCGACAGGTGGCACACTTTAGGCGAAGTGCGTTATCAATGCAGAAATTGTGTAACAAGCAAGTTGTCAACGGAAATTTAGATTTTTGACTAGATAACACCAAACGTTACTCAAAGCTCGCTATTTTTCTGGGCAGGTATATGTGCATATCAGCAATTTTAGTACCATCAGAGTGCGCTTTCTCGACCGCTGTGCATGTGGTGGATTGACGGCGTATGCTAGTGTTTTTAGACCGTACCAGGGACTTGTGTAACCTGGACATTTAAAGTAAAATAAATCCTAGGTAAAAATGAAAACGAGCAATTATTATAAAAAACATTTAAACTTCAACGGGTACCCGCCCGTACGTTCGATGAGTACCTTGGCAGGTTTATTCAGCGCTAAAAACAACGTAAGGTTGACTTTGATAATGAGCAGCAGATAAATCAATAAGCAACAGTGAAAACTCAAAATGCAAGATTTAGCTTTGTCAAACATGCATTTCAAATTGATGTATACAAGTCAGAGGCGGATCCAGTCCACCTTATTAAAAAGAAGGGATGGGAAAATTTTTTGACTTTTTTGATTTGGTGGATCCAGACCATCCAGGAAGGAAGGTAAACAAAAACACCCATGAAAAAAATGAATTAAAACTCATAACTATTTCATTTGACCCGCTTTTACTCTAGTTCGGCTAACTACAATAGCACGTTAAAAATTATGTATATATATATATATATATATATATATATATATATATATATATATATAAATATATATATATATATATATATATATATATATATATATATATATATATATATATATATATATATATATATATATATATATATATATATATATATATATATATATATATATATGCATGCATTAGGGTGTGCCAAAAAACAACACTTTTGAAAATAATCTGCCTCCACTCCTAAATGTGTTCTATCTAATACAAAAACACTAGGTTTAAATTTTTTTTGAATAAAAAATATTTTAAGGGGTCACCCAAGACCCGTCGAATATTTAATGGGCCCCTAATATTTTCGAAAGGTTTTCCGAAAGTATGTCAACCTGGTACTGAAATGAAGCAAAATTGTATAAAAATTTCAAAAATAATATTCATTTAAAAAAAAAAATGTTATTTTTGGTTTTATTACATAAAAATTTGCGTTATTTAACAAAGAATGAAAAAAGTGCTTTTTTTATTTTCAAAATGAATATTATTTTTGAATTTTTATATAATTTTGCTTCATTTGAGTACCAGGTTGACATATTTTTAAAAAACTTTTCTTGTTTTAAATATTAGGGACCATTAAATATTCAAGGGTTTTGGGGACCTCTTAAAATATTTTTTATTCAAAAAAAATAGTGTTTTTGTATTAGATAGAACACATTTAGGGGGTGGGAGCAGATTTTTTTTAAAAAAGTTGTTTTAAGAGCCACCTTAATATATATATATATATATATATATATATATATATATATATATATATATATATATATATATATATATATATATATATATATATATATATATATATATATATATATATATATATATATATATATATATATATATATATACATATATATATATATATATATATATATATATATATATATATATATATATATATATATATATATATATTTATTATTAGCATTATATTAATAATAAAAACTATTATAAACTTCTCAAAAGAGTTCATTTTTATTTTGTCTGAAAAATTTTTTTGAGATATCACTTTTAAAAAGTTTTATAAAGAATGTTGTGAAATTGCATTATTTCCATTAGTTTTCTCAAACATCGTGCGTGTAATTGCTTAAAAGGCTATTTTTATTGGCTAATGAAAGTTAATTGCTAAAAAAATCAAAGCTTTCTGAATTCTAACTAACCTTAACCAATGAAATTTCACCAAATGAGCTTATAAGCAATTTATTATCGACAGATCGATTATAATCAGCGCCAGCCATCAATTGATTAGCGATTAACGCCTTTAATGATTAGCGGAAACAATAACTTCAGCCAATAACGATTAGCGTAAAATCGTGGAACGTAATGACCTGCAGATTTTAGAGCTCTCCAAAAAGATAATTAAAACGAGTTTTTCGACAATTTTGAATTAAACTCGTGACTAACTTCTAGCACTTAGTATCTGATATGAAATTCAAAGTCACTGAGATTTAGAACAAACGACGGGTGTTCCTGAATATTAGGGTGGACGGAGATGGCTTAAAGGGTTTTAGAAACTATGCTACCTAACTGTTTAAGCATTTTTATGCTGAGTATTATTCCAAAATAAATTTATAAACTGTAATAAATTTATATTTATATAATGCTTCAAATCACCCTAAATTTTTCCCAAATTTTTTGCTAAGTAGATTTTAAATTAAAGAAATTAAAGAATTTCTTTAATTGGTGTTTTTATGATTTTTTTATTAGATTTTTTATAAAAGTCGCTTTTTTTGAAAACCAACATATATTTTTGAAAAAAAAAACGATCAAGTTCTTGCGCAACTTTTAAAAATGCTTCAAATCACCTCTAATTTTTACAATATTTTTGTTTTAGATGGATAATGGGGGGTTCCAATGTAAATTTTTTGAAAATAAAATTTTTTTTAGATCACTTTTTGTAGTAAATCGATTTGGAGTTAAAAATGATATCTGTTAAAATCAAAATATTTTTATTTTACATATATATTTTTTAATAGGAACATTTACTTAGATTTTTTTGATATAAAAAAAAAGACTAAAACATAACATTTAAGATAAGAATTTATTTTTTTGGAAGTTTTATAAAAAGTTATTTGCTAAAGATTAACTATCGTTCCGAATTTTTTAAGCTTCGTTCGATATAGCACAAAATAATCGAATATTAAAAAGAACGTCTGAAAAATAACTCTTTTCCTGGGAGCTTTTTTTATAATCTTATTTGTTTGTAAAATTTATATGAAGTTGTAGACACCACGAAGATATGTGTAATTATGTTGCAATCGCCACGTGCATTTCATATTTCGTATAAATTCGAAACCATACTCCATTTCGTAAAGATTTTCTAAACGTTTGAGATGGCGTTGCACGTGGCCAACTTAATCTTGCTTTTGATGGTCAACTCTATCCTATCGACGATTGTTTACGACGATCCTTTGTTTGAACCACGAAATCTTAATAACAGCCAAAATTGCAACTTTGAGGTGTGGAAAGCAAAAGATGGAAAAAGTTGGGTAATGAACAACCTTTTGTTACCAAAAGAAATTTGCTGGGAGGGCGCTAAAAAGTTGTGTGCGTGGCACAAAATGAGAAATGGAGTTATTAGGAATCTTTGTGATAGGTAAAAATAACATTTCGTGTTAAATATATTTTTTCTAGACGCTTTTTTAAATTGTCATGACCTTACTACTTAACTTCAACATATTAATGCAACGAAACATTTTCAAACGAATGATTTTTTTTACAAAACTGAATAACGTTAATTCTGCTGTGCAATTTGTCCTGTAATGTATTTTTTCGATAATTTTAACTGTGTTAATTGAAAAAATGTAATACACTCTTTTCGTTTATGAGCTTAAATCTTTAATTTTTAATTTTGTTTTAATTTTTTAAATCAATTTAAGTTCTGAGTGTATTCAAGTATTACGTCTAATTAGCATTTTAAATCAAAATAAAGAACTTTTTTTAATAATATTTTTATTGACAAAGCGTTCGCCATCGAAAATATATACAAGTAAAATATTTGACGCTTCATCGTTTTTTTTTTTTTTCTTGTATTTTTGTTTGAACGATTTTTTGTATTATGTAATTATTTTGTCATGTTCTGACTGGTGCTTTGCCGATTGTGTTTAGTCCATTATTTGTTTAATTAGTTTATCAAAAGACATTTTTTATAAAATTTTCTAGTTAAACTATTAGTTTAAAATGCTCTAAAAGTTTATTAAAAATAACTTAAATAATTAAAAATGTTTGTTAAGAAAAGTCATTTTTGTGTTTTTTTCGACCTTCATATTTTACAAGATAAAATTTGTTAATAATTTTACAAATGAACTACTTAAAAAAATAAAAAATAAAAAACGGGCCCCTGCATAACTCAAATTCGCATAACTTTTTTTAAATGCTTATTCTTTCGAAAGCTTATAAGTATGTCTAAAAAGTATAAATTTACAGGTTGTAATATTATAAATGTATAGATTGATTTTAGGCGTTTTCTATCGACACGTGAAGTGTTGATAAAATAAATTATTCTAAATGTTTTATATTTTAGATATGTTCAAGTGAAACAATGCTTCAAAACAAAGAGGGTATTATCGTTTTTAATGAACTACCCCCCGAATGTATATAATCCTGATGTCGATGGTGTAAGACCAAAGTAGTTGGCTCTTAAATGACGTACTTTAGCAGACTAGATTCTTTTGGGCTTGAATTCCTGATCTTGCATGTTTTTTATATATCTTATAAATATTTTTTTATTTTTGTTGTAAGTAAACAGTGCAGTAAACACTATTTCCAGTAATATACAATTCGTTAACGAGTTCGTTTTTAAAAGTGCACATTTCTTTTTAAACATCAAAACATTTTACAGAATATTAATGTAAATATTGTGATCTAATTTGATTTTATTAAAGATTTGTAACTACCGTGTCTTACTCGTTTACATTCCCGCCTTTTCCATCTATCCCACTTGTATAGATTTATGTATCGTAAAACCTGAGCAGTCTAGCTCATAAAATATTGCTTTAGCTGTGGCTCTAGATAATTTTAGTTCCACCTTATTTAATCTAGTTTTACCTTGAAAGTGCGTTAGTCTGCATTTCTAGTCAAATTAATTAAAGAGACAAATAACACTATTTACCCGCGCAAACCTTATTTCTTAGGACGCATTTGTCTGTGAATTGATAAACTTAAAGATAAGAAAAAACACGCAATGGTGTTTGTTACCTTCTTCTAAAGAATTTGAGTTTCCGTTAGCGATTAGCACTCCAGACGCGAATACTAAGAGTAACACCCACCTCATTCCATTGATTTTCCAAATAAATTAAAATATCATAAAATTTAAAATAATTTCAAAATCTAGTGTATGCTTTTTACAACCTCAATCAGCTCTTTGCAAAATAGCATAGCTGAGGTTGAGAGCACTCGGGCGTAAAATAAAATCATCCAGGCGTGAATACCTGATCTGTTTTGTTGAATAAACGTCAGATACGTTTCGGTAACAAATTAGCATGAATTTTAAAACTTTGTTTTAATTGATTTATGAGTCGGAATAATTACCTTTAATACTCAGTCGTTAAAAAAGTAATTTACATTATTAAAATGTAAACATTTTAAAATGCCATAAGACAACTATATTAGACCATTTAACTATTACCAGGAGTTATATCGAAAAATATTAATTAGTTTGTGACAGGCTACTATTCAATTTTTTTAATTTAATTGTGCTATTTCTTAAATTCGTATGAAACTTCTTTCTAACTACTTAGTGTTCTCTTCTAATTTAAATTTCGTTTGTTTTTTTTTTCGCTATTTTGTATTGAAATTTTCTTATTTTTAAAATAAATAAAAGATTGAAGGAATAAAATGTATGCAAACTTCGAAATATTTTTGGCGCCAAGATAAAATTTTGATAAAATGAAATTAATCATTTTGATAATAGTATTAAAATTTTAATGTGCATCTAGGCCAGGCGTCCAGATTTTTTTTTTTAAAAAAAAAAAACAATTTTTAAACAAAAAAACATTTTCTTTTACTTTTTATTTATTAAAATTAGTCGAAGTTTGAATCATCGAATATCGATGAAATACCAGAAAGGTATTCATATTCCTTGCTATGCTTAAAAAAATGTTAAAATTTTGAAGACGTTAATTGAAATCTTTTACTGCAATTGCGCAAGGTTAATAATGCGAACTAGGTCTTCTTATTTTTATTTTATTTATATATTTGTTAAACACCTGCTTTAAAGTAAGGTAAATTAAAGTTTCGTTCAGGATAAACAAAAATCTTGGAGTTTTTTCTTTAGATTTTCTTTTAAACACGATCACCCAGGAAAAAAAGTTCTATAGAATTTTATATAAACTTTTGAAACATATGGCCTATAGAAATTTTATAGACTTCTATAGAATTTCTATAGAGTTTACTTCTATAAAAACTTCTAATGAAATTTTTTTTTCTACTTTTTTTATAGAAAGTTTTTAAAAAGTTTTTATATTAATTAAATTAATAGACACTCTATAGAAATTCTATAGAGTTTCTAATGGCCATATGTTTATAGAGTTTATGGCCAAAAGTGTTTAAAAAATTCTATAGAACTTTTTTTTCTGGGCATCTAGGAATTTTTTTTTTCAGGAATGTCCTTGAGAATTGTTTTTTGTTCTTTTGAGTTGCAGCGCTTAACTGCACATTTTAGAATTTGAAGATCCATTTTTTTTTTTCTTTGCATTATTTTCTCTAGGTTTAGTTCATGACTATTGAACAAGCCCTTGACACTATCTAAAAAAACTCTTGACACTATCTAAAAAAACTCTTGACACTATCTAAAAAAAACCTTGACACTATCTAAAAAAGGTTTAGGAGCTGTTTTGTTTTTTAGCTGCGACTTAAACATTATCAAATGTTTTTTTTACTTTTCATCAGGCGAATAAATAAGTTTAGCTTGTTTTTTTGTTTAATTATTAATACATCCTTAGTAAAAAATAAGGGATGAATAAAATTTTGGCTATGCTTTGAAGCGTTGAGGAGTGACTTCAGTTCATTTCTTCCAACTATATTAAGCTTTTGCATTAATATATTTTTTATGTTCACAAAGCTAAAGACCATAAGTTAGTGTTGGAACACCCTAAGTTTTATATAACTGGACAATGAAGTTTGGGTAAGCAAAACGGATTCCTGACTAAATTAAAGTTTGGATTACTGCCTGAAAATTGGATATTCGGCGATCAATATTTAAAGTTTAAATATTGATCGTTTGATTTGATATTGCCGTTTAAATTAAACGGCAAAAGATATTGCCGTTTAAATTAAACGGCAAAAGGTGAATTCTTGGAATGTAAAGCCTAGATGACAAAGTTTACTAGGAAGATTTATTTGTTGGTAGTTGAGTATTAATGTGCAGTTTTTAATTTGCTTTTTTCCGGTGAGCAAGAACTTGGTTTTGTTAGTATTCAGTTTTATGCAATTTTCTTTTGTGTATGTATTACAGGTATTAATAAGCTTTTGAAGGCCAGAGAGGGTGGAACTAAGAGTTGTAATGTCATTAGCGTATACTACGATACCCGTATATTTATTTATTTACAATTGTAAATAAATAAAGTAACTCATTCTAAAATATTTTGTTTACTTTCATGTTGCCAAGTGAATAAACGTTAAGTTGCCAGCCTTTCGGAGTAGAAAATCTAGAGTATAGTAGCAAACTAGTTATTCTTTGTTTGGGACTTTGTAAAATGCTAGAGACTGGGTAGAATGTTAGAGACGGGAGTAGAATGGACCATGATTTCTTTATATAAACTAGTATAAAAGAAGTTTAAATAAAAATAATAATAAAAACCGTTTGTAAAATAATACATTTTTTCTATTTAGTCTATATAGTCTTACAAGTAGTTTGTCATTGCTCATAAATATACAAGTTTCTCATACCCCTATTATAAATATACAATGTTATTTACAGGAAAAATACAATGTCAATGAGTTTAATCTGTACTAACTCTTTGGTTCAGTACAGCTTTAATTTGATGTTTTGTTTTGTTTTTATTACTTTATCTCACTATACCTATTATCTTCTTCAATTTAGAAACGAATCCAAGACTAATATCTGTAGATTGTCTTTAACGATCAAAAATCTGTTGCAAAAAAGATTCTTTTATTTTTATTGTAGCTTCCCTATGATTATAGTGGCAAAATTTTATATCGCTACTGTGACAATAGCGACAGTTCATTTTATATCGTCACTATGATAATAGCGACAGTTTATTTTATATAGTACTATCACCATTGTACCATTGTATGCCTGTTTATTTAATTTTTGAACAAACTAAATTTGAACAAATTAAAAAAGTTAAACAAACTGGTGTGAGAGTGAATAGAAAGCTCAGTCCTGGGATGCGACACCTGGAAAAGTATTTGGAAATTGAAATTGCAGTACGTGAGCTCTAGCGCCATCTTGAAAAAGGAAAAGTGACTTGTTGAAAAAGAAAGTGGGGAAAGCCTATAGCTGTCCACGCAAAGTTATAATTTAAAAAAATATTTACCCTTACTCATCTATAGCAAACATCAACTTTACTTTTAGTTATTGATGTCAACTCTTAACTATTTTAAAAGTAAGTAAAAAAAAAATTTATGATAAAATGCTAAAGGTTAAAGGTAAAACAGTTGCTAAATAGTCAACAGTTGTTGTGTAATCAACTACAATTGATTATTAGTAATTACTCGTTATTAAATAATGATGTACCTACAACTGTTTCTCAAAAATAATTATTTTAACAGTCACTTTTAAAGATTTTAAATCAAAAGCTTTGTCTGGGAGACGTTTGTCGGACGTCTTACGGGCGTCCAGACGTCCGTAAGACGTCCGACGAATGTTCCCCGGACGACGCATGCCCACTAGAAAATTTTCGGATAGTTATCTTTCGATGAGAATTTAGGTGCTATAGATTCAGTACTTAGTGAAACATTAATCTATAGTAACTAAAACTAATTAATGTTTCCCTTTTAATATCGTGATTAAACTTTTTTTTAGAATAATGGGTCTTTGATAAAAAGTACGTATGCAAATATGGGGAGGAGGGGTTATTCAAAAATGTACTATGAGTATAAAGGAGGAGGCGCTTTTAAAGCAGCGTATTTGACTCTCTCTCTCAATTTATTTATCCTAATAATTGATTTTTTTTTTTTATAAAAATTTTTTTTTTACCAGTTTAAAAAGTCAATAATATGTTATTTAACATAGATTTGTCAAATCAACTTAATGTTTAAAAAAATTTATGCTTTGCGGAGGAAGTTGATTTTGTAATAAATAATGCGTACGTACGCAAAGGAGGGGGTGGGTTTTAAAAGCATACAGTTGCGTACATGTGGTAGAGGATTCTAAATCAGTGGTTTTACATTGTGTACATACTTTACGGACATCCCCTAATCATAAAGTTTTCATGAAAAACTTCTTTTGGAAAAACCAAAAAAAATTTATTTTACACTATAAATTTTTCGAATATAAATAAAGTGTCTACTTTTATCATGTCGTCAATATAGAAAACAAGTTATTTTTTTTTTGGTTTGTTCGGGCCCTGTGCTATGGTATACCCTCCTCGTGTCTAAGTCCAGACTAATATCGCGACGTTAGAATTATCTTGTTCTATCTCCACATTTTTTAGTTTTAAGATGAGTTTTTCGTAAATATTGGCCCAAACTTAGCCAGCAAAATTAAACACACTCCTGCACATTTCTTGAGCTATCTATCAAAGTCGGATAAAAGCTTAGCATTTAAAAAACTCACTAGTAAAGAACTTGATGATTCAATAAAAAAATTAAATAAAAATAAAGCAACAGGCTATGATGCTATTTCAGCAAGCATATTCAAAGAATGCTACGAACTTATTAAAGATGTTTTATTAGATATTTTTAACAAATCGCTTAAAACAGGTGTTTTTCAAGATAAAGGAGATGAAAGTCTGGTTACAAATTATCGACCTATATCGGTATTACCTGTATTTTCAAAAATCCTCGAACGTATCATGTATAATAGGATATTTGCATTTTTCTATGATAACAATCTTCTTTATTGGAACCAATATGGTTTTCAATCAAATTACTCAACGGAACATGCACTTATGCAACTTGTTGAAGTTATCAGTGAAGCATCTTCTCATAACAAGTTCACCTTAGGTATATTCCTAGACTTGTCAAAAGCATTTGACACCGTTAATCATCAGATTTTATTAGAAAAACTAAAATATTATGGAATAAGCCACGAATACCATAAATGGTTTACCAGTTACTTAACTGATCGAAAGCAGTTTATTTCTCTTAATGATGGCTTTCAGACAAACAAACTTAAAATATCATGTGGGGTTCCACAAGGCTCCATCTTAGGTCCGTTGCTATTCTTAATCTATGTCAACGATCTATATAAAGCATCAAATACTATGT